GCTACCTGGTTCCCCTGTGCTCCCCATCCCCTCTGCTGCCCCTTGCAGTGGGTTTCTCCTGTGCTGCCCTTGAGCCCCTCAACTCTTGCTCTCCTGCAGGCAAAAACCCAGAGGAGGTACTGAAAAAATACCTGCAGAAGGTGCGGCATCCGCCGGATGAGGTGCGAGCGGTAGGGGTGGCGCCGGGGTGAACCCAGGGTGCTTCGCTCTGGGATGAGCGACTGGGGACACGTGCGATGCATTGTGGGGACCTCCTGCTGCCCTCATGGCTCTGCCCTACCCTGGCCCCCTCCAAAGCGGAGCTCTGTGCCTCATGCACATGTGGGCCAGCCCTTGCAGTGGCCCAGGGTGGGTGCTGGTCCCTGGCCAAGAGCAGGACGGCTTCTCAACCGCGTGTCTGCGGCAAGGTTCTAGCTGCACCCATCCATCTGACCCCACTCCTCCCCTTCGGCGCAGGACTGCACCATCTGCATGGAGCGCCTCTCTGCCCCCTCTGGCTACAAGGGGCCCCAACCAGCCGTCAAACCTGACCTCGTGGGGAAGCTGGTCAAGTGCAGCCACGTCTTCCACCTCCACTGCCTCGTCGCCATGTACAACAACGGTAACAAGGTGTGAAGCTGCAGCCTTGGGGGACACCCGAGCCCCCAGCTCGGCTGCCTGTGAGCCCCAGTTTCCCTCAGTGGGACAGTCCTGCTGCCCCACAGGACTCTGACCTTCCACCCTAATGCAGAGTTTAACTTTTAGCCGCAGAAGGCACTTTGGGACTGCTGGATCAGATACAGCGGGTGCATGGGTTTGTTTTCCCCCCACTTGCCCAGTTTATGTCCTTGCTTTCCTTCCCAGGGATGAACTTTCATCCCTGCGTGTTTGAGCAGAGCTACCTGGAATTTGGTGCCAGGCAGTGCTTATCTGGACGCAGCTGGGCTTTCCTGAGGGTGCTGCAAATAGGCCTTGTGCTCAACATTCCCTGGAAAATATGTTCCATGTTGCTTAGAGGTTTTTGATACTTATTATATTTCCTTCTTTGGAAAAGCAAAACAAAAAAACCCCACCAAATCAGAGGAAGGGAAAGCAACAAGGACTGGAAAACTGATGGGGGAGAGAAATGCAAACCTCAGGTTTTCTACTGAAGTTAGGTAGCTGTAGCAAATTCTCCCAGCCCTATCCCAGGCTTCCTGAGTGTTCTTTGAAGTGATGGTTTTCACAATTAAAACAGCATTCAGTGCTGCTCAGGGGCCAAGTGCCTGTTTGGAGTGGTACCAATTTCAGCGTCTTCCCCTTTTCCCACTCAGGATGGGAGTCTGCAGTGTCCCACCTGCAAAACCATCTATGGGGTGAAGACAGGCACACAGCCTCCAGGGAAGATGGAGTATCACATCATCCCTCACGCGCTGCCTGGCCACGCTGACTGCAAAACCATCCGCATCATCTACAACATCCCCCCAGGGGTGCAGGTGCGGCCTGGCTCGATGCCCGGAGGGTACATGGGTGATCCCCTGTGAGGGCTGGAGGCTCTTGTCGCTGCTGTATTACCCCCAGGTCATGCAGCAGCTCATGCCTTGATTCAGGAGCTGTTTGTCTGTAGGAATGTTGTGGGAAATTTGGGATCTTATCTACATGAAAGTGTTGTCTCTGTCTGCTTGATGGCAGGGCCACCATGCTAGAGTGTGGCTGCCCAGCACAGCAGCCAGCAGCGTGGTGTCCACTGAGGCTGGGGGGTTGCCTTGTGCCCAGAACATCTTTCTGAGCTCCAAAAGGGTTTTTCTTCTCCCACTTCTCCCACACTGCAGGGACCAGAGCATCCAAACCCCGGGAAGAGCTTCACGGCCCGTGGCTTCCCCCGGCACTGCTACCTGCCAGACAGCGAGAAGGGCAGGAAGGTGAGGGGGCTCACACGGGCAGCTCAAGCAAGGCAAGGTGTGCTCAGGGGCATAATTGAGGGGGAGCAAGGGAAAAGGCAGACACGGCTTATGCAGGCGAGTCTGGGTGGAGGTTTTCCCCATAGCCCATCCAGCATGCTCTGGGGGAGCTCAGCGACCTGGGCCCTCTGTTTTGGCTGGGGTAGGACGCTGTGCTGGGATCTTGAGCTCCCTGGAAGGGCTCAGCTGTGGGTTGCCAGAGTATGCCAGGATGAACAGGAGCGGGTGCTTCCCCTCTGTGTTTGCTTTGCTGCCTGCCCCATTTTTTTCCTCCACAGGTACTGAAGTTGCTGCTGGTAGCCTGGGACCGGCGCTTGATCTTTGCCATTGGGACCTCCAGCACCACAGGCGAGTCGGACACGGTGATCTGGAATGAGATCCACCACAAAACAGAGTTCGGCTCCAACCTCACTGGCCACGGCTATCCTGACATCAACTACCTGGACAATGTCCTGGCGGAGCTCGCAGCCCAGGGCATCACAGAGGAGAGCCTGGCACAGGAGAAGGACTGAGAGCATGGCGAGGAAAGGGTTGCCTGTGCTGGCACCCACCAGGATAAAGCTGCTGGAGAAACCCATCTGGGGGCTTTGCAGGGTGCACCTGGAGCCCCCTGCTCCCAGTGGCACCCACCAAGTGGGAGTACCCCCAGGCTGGCTGGGAATGTGGGAGAAGGTCTTTTTGGCCATCCCCTTCACTCCCGTGGGGTGGGAACCTCCCCCATGCAGCTGTGGGGCTTCAGGTTAGCTTGACCACCCTTCTGGATGGTGTCCTATCCTTACTGCCACTGTGCTGAGGGTGTGGGGGGTACCAGACTCCCCTCTCTCCTCATCCATCAGACTGTCCCAGCCTGACCTGACATCCCTGAGATCCACCCGGGTCTGGGGCCTGGCCTGGGGTGGGAGCTGGAGCCATGGGAGTTCTTGCTCTGCCTCATTCCTCAGCCGTTTGTTTGTTTGTTCGTTCTGTCCACTACCTTCCCACTGGTCTCCTGTGTCCATGGTGGCTGGGGGGCCCTGGTCTGTCTCAGCTGGCCCCCCAGCCCTATGCCTCCTGTTCCTCTTGGCTGTGTCTGAGCTGTGCCCTGCAGGGTCCCCTTGTCTGGGCTGCCTCCACCCCTGCATGCCAGGGAGGGGCTGGTGGGTGGTAGGAAGTGGTGGGGGGCACAATGACAGACATTTTCTGGCCTGTGTCCCACCCCCCTCGCAGTGGGTTCCTTGAACTGTTCGTATGGGGGCGTCCCCGCGTTGAATTTCTATATACCTCGTGTTTTGGGGTTTTGTCGTATATATGTACATATAGGGGGGGCATTTTGGGAGGCAGCCTGGGGCCTGGGAGAACGTGGTGCTGCAGCCAAGCTGGGGCTCGGCATGGTGGTGCTCGAGGATGGGATGGGG